AATGTTTTATTCGAAAATGTCACAAAACCCTTCTCGCTACCTTAAATGCAATGAACATGTTCTTGTCTATAGGGTCATTTGAGGATATTTGGTGCCCAAATTTCACTTTACACGGATTTCACATAATTTGAATTTCCCATTTCTGACGCCGGCATCTTTAACAATAATAATAACAACGTCAACAACAACAATAATAATAATATTAATAATACAATGTAATACTCCAAAAAAAAAGGAAATATTGGTAAAAAAAAAGAAATCTTTGAAAATGTGTGACATAATTGACAATTACAGTTCTTTGTATAGTTAAATGTATTCTACTTTTAGGTTGTATATGTCAATGGCTAAATTACAACAGCAATAAATTGTGCTCATATATAGTTTTGATCCGTTTTCTGTTGATTAACTCTTTTATGATTGTTGTCAAGGTTCCATTTATCAGAATAGTATTGTTTGTTCAGTAGTTGTTATTTCGCCAGATTTGAGGTGTTATTTTGGTTGTTATTAGTTAGTGACAGTCCTCCAATTCTACAACGTATTATACGAGCGTTATACCGAAGTTTAAAACACAGAATATAGTCCTCGCCGGCCTATTGTGGGAACACACGTCATAACGAAAATGCGTCGCAGTGAAAATCGGAATGGCGTACTCTGGGACCCATCTAGAAGTTTTTAAAATTATTCACGCGCAGTATAGCAGTATGCTTGACATGTTTGATGTTGCTGCCGTAGGTAAAACACTTAAAGAAAGTGATTGCGGTTATATGTGGACCCAATCAGGTGAGACTGGGAACCTCTAAGCCAGGGGCAACTACGTGTTCCATCAATAGTACGGACAGGGTGAAGACCACCTAAACCAGAGAGAAATATGTACGGGGCATAGTACGGAAAGGTGAGGGCCATGATCCAAAAAAGAAAGATTATGCGTTCCCCGAATCGACAATAATTCGGATGGGTGTGAGTACACTTAAACTGAACCCCCAAAGGTAATGGGCTCGTCCTCCGTCGAAGTTCTTTGAACTATACTTTATGTTGGTAACTTTATTTCGTACTGCGTCAACTGACACACAGGTGGACATAGTTTCCTGTGTCCTTGTAAAACAGGTTCGGATTAGCCTGATTTTATAAACCAACTAGTAATCCTTTATCATGTATCTAGACTGCGTGGCGGACTGCACGTTCACATGTAGTTTGAATTTCAATGAAATAGGACAACGTGTTGCAGCATATATGCCCTATTTGTTGAACGTTTTATCATCAAAGACTCCCCGAAGCAGTTCGATAGTCGCCAGAGAGGCTAAACAATAAACAGCAAAAACCCACACAATAAAAGAGAATTTTCAACCGGTATGATCTAATCGTCTATTAATAGTAACGTTACTAAATCCGCTAAATCAACCCATGGGGAATCGCCCTCAAAAATCAGCACCCGAATGTAAAGAAATGCTTGATGGATCAGTTGGGGTCATCCTGGAACACGATGACGTCAGGATAAACAGGTAAAATGTTGAAATAAACCGTCTGAAACTCTCATTGAGAAAAGGTATTACAAGTTGCAATGGGATGGGATTTGGAAATCTGAACCAGGTCAGGTCGGAACATGAGAGGGAATAGTTACGTCAGAAATAATTATAATTGGCGGTCACCTTGACATTTAATAGCTGGGAAACTATCCTGTTCCAGTACTGTCAAGGAAAGATTTGATATTCGTGTTTAAAAGTGTACGGGGTGGCGGTAATTACCTTTCTCGTCGTACTGTTCGGACTGTTATATCACACAAACTGACAGGGAGGTCGGTCATCATCGAATGCCCACTGTACATGGGTAGCCAAGCCTGGTGACTTCGCCGATTACGACTCGGAAGTACGTGTCGGGTTTTCACCGCAAATGCAAGCGCATTCCTGTAGGAGGGGTAAAATGAGACGCGGTCTCGTTCACCGCAGGTGCACCTTTTTCACACCTCTGTAGATGAAATAAAGAAAAACGACACTTTTCGTCTATTTATTTCTTTTATTTGTTTCGTGTTGTGTATTGCCAATGCTCTATGGAATCTGTCAGCAAGTCTGAAGTGTCGGTTTTCTTTACGGGTGTCAAACCGTGGCTTCACATAGGTCCTTGGTAATATGGTAGTTTTCACACCTGTACAATGCCTATGTGCAAACGAATTGACTTTTTTGTTCTCCCCTTGGCTCGACAGCTAAATTCTTTACAAACCATCGGCAGAATTTCAACACATTGCTGGAGACAATACAATTAATTGACCAACTAGGTTTCAAATAGCGCCAGGGGTCACCCAATGTCATGCCCGTTTGCGTATACACAAATTACAACGGTTACTCAATAGTGGAGAAAGTCGTTGTAATTGCAACGTTAGACCTTAACCCGGGGATGAAAGTGCACCGACATGCCGGTGGCTTGTAAGTTTTCTTATGGACAGTAATATTTCTGGTCTGGTTAGAAATGTCCAAGTAGTGGGAGTTTCATAAGGTGTCAGGTGACAAGAAGGGGTGAGCGAACGGGCGGTTTTGCGACATTCTCACGTAGAACTTAAAACTAAATTAAATTCGCACACACAATTCAGCCCTCGCATTCCACGTATCGGTTTCAAAGTACTGAACTGTATTCAAAATAAAACCCACAGACAAATATTCTGAATAAACAAATACCGACAAGAGCACGTGTTACCATGGAAATAATCGCCGAAAAAAAAACCACATCAGAACATAGACCTTAGAAAAGTTTGTGATCTGATCTGAATAACAAAAACGGGTTTGTTGAAAGTGATAAGAAATTTAACCCGACCAGATTCTGTTGGTTGGGACATACTAGTAGAGCCTTTGAGTGTCTATGGTTGAGATGAAAACCTGGGATGGAAAAATAGGATGGTCAAAAGGTAACGCTTGTGGATAGGTGTCACATGAGGGCGGTATATAATTTTCCGGATAAGAGAACACTTCACGCCTACACAAAGCCCCGTTTTCTATATATTTCCATAATAAAATAGTACTTTAGAAAAATACTGAATTACTATATTTCACTTTATGTTAAAGTGCGGTAGTCGTCGTGCCGCGTCCTGTTCGATATGGGACTCATAGCGACGTATACAACGCGTGTAAAATACATTGTTTATTTACATGAAATTCGAACACCCTTTAAATTGTGATAAAACGAATATATCAACTACGTCTGTGATTGACTTATTCCTAGCATAATCAAAGTTTTGAAATCTCGGTCATACCGCGGTTAGTAATCGTGTACTACTGGCATTTTTCAGTATTACTTACTTACTCATATCCATACCATGAGAGGGCGCACTGGCTTACCCTCCTTACTACGGCAGTACAACCAATAGGTAGTCCTGATGCAAATTACACAATAAGTGTTATAAGTCAGACTTTTAAATAGAGCATAACAAATATTAGTAAAAACTTTACATACAGATCTCGTTAATACATAAGACAAACAAGTAATGTACTTAATACAAACACAAACAACTAATACAATGTATTAGTAGTCTGAGATACAAACAACAGTTCAGTTTATATAGTATCCCGGGGAATAGTATACAAAAACAAAACATAAATCAGCATCCCGACGGTGCATGAATGTCTCGTCATTGATGGGTGAATTCGTCTTATTGAGAGAGGGTTAGGGGGTCGTTCCAATGCCTCTTCTTTGTAGTGACATTAGTTTCGCCACAACGCTATTTCGTCGCAGCGTAGTTTCACTTTAGTTCCATTATTATACTGAGTAATACTCGTAACATCCGTTTCGCCCCGATTGTTTCCAGTGTTTCGTTTCAATGCTCTTCGTCACAGCGTCAGTTGTCTCACCCCAATGATTTCCTCAGTGTTTTACCCTAATGTTATTTCGTCCCGGTGAGAGTAGTTTAATCCCCGACTGTTTCTAGGGTCTCCATTGACACGTGATATACCACGCGTTTTTATTAGTTACATCATGAAGGTAGAAAAGTAAGAAACGGCTTAAAACAACTGTTACCCAAGTGTCCGGGGAACCACTGGCGCTCGGTCACTGAGACAGATTGAGTAAAATCGTGCTCACAAATTCGTTGCTTGGTTTTTCGGAAATTATAGATTTGTGACCACCGCTTCAATTTAACTGTATTATACATTAACTTATTCAAATCGTAAACTTATTCACGACAATATTAGAAAACAAACGCAGTTCGCGCAATGAAAAGCCCGCAGTAAATTATACGCCCATTCCAATGCAACCACTTATGTTTACTCGGCTCTCTGTGATCATATGGTGCTATGCATTTATTTTAAAGCAGAAATTATTTATATTTGTCCGAATTCAGCAAGTGTGTGAAAACAAACGCGTAGACCTTACTTTATCTATGATATTTGAGGGCAGGCTTTACGGGATATAACCAATGAAAGTAGTACACGTGATAGCTTACCGTTTTCACGTAAGCTAGGGGGATCTAAACACCAGCTGTCGCTAACATGGCCGACAAATCCGATGACAGCAGTCAGCTTCGGCGACGGAGAACGAGGACCAATGAAGAGGGCGACGATTCGGATGAAAACAACCCGATGGGCAAAGCGAAGGTCGCAGACAGTCATGACGAGAAAGAAATAAAAACTAAAAACAACGGTCTTATGGAGCTTGAACCCGGAACATATTGGCTGACGCGGATCGTGTTTTTGAGGTCCCTCGCCTTTATTTATTGTGAGTACTCCATGGTACATGTACTACCGACTATGCACGTACTAGTGTCCCAACCCTGCCTCCGAGTCGGCCAGCTGGCTTCGGTCTGTTTGAACATGCTGTACCGATTTCATCCTTATTTTAACGCCATGTGCGGAGAATGTTACCTAAGCTTCTCCCAAATTCCAACTTAAAGGGCGGTGGTCATTGCGCAGCGCGAGTTCGAATTTTACACGCGTTGTATACGGTGCTATTCAAAGTAGTACACATGTCTTACTTACTCTCCGGCATACACCAATACTATACATAGATCAACATTTATCATAGCGAATTTCATAATTTTACAAGTCCATAAGCAATTAAAAGTACATTTTGCTTCTTTCATTTTTTCTGATATGCTACTAATCATATCCCTTTCTAAGGTCTATGTATTAATCAAAGTCAGTTAAACCAGAGGCACATTTCTTAGGGTTTGCAATGCGCATAGTACTGTATGGTGACATCATGCCAAGATTCCATTCAAGTCTCATCTCGTAGATAGCGAGACTGATGCTACGACCTTCTGACATGAAATAGGCGGTTTGTAATAATCAATAAAACATGTATTACCACATTCATAGTGAAAAAATGTAATACATCGAAAATGTACAGAAAATATAGTTATCATATTTAGTCATTTGGTTACTAAATAATAACTGTTATATCTGATGGCCAATATGCAATTGTTTTTATGTTAAAAGTTCATCAAAATCAATCATTTCTGAAATACCTCGTCTGTATCTCAGTCATGCATAGACAGATTTTGTTCAAACTTGGTATGTACATTGAATTTTATGGCATCTTAATGCATGTCACTTTGTCAAATTGTCTCGAAATGGCCAACTGGTGATCATTTTGTTTTAAAGAATGCAATTTTGAACTGTTTAATATGTTCTCTGAGATTTACTCATTCATCTGTTAAATAATTTTTTTTCAGCTGTAGCATTCTTGGTAGCATTGCATCAAAACCGGGCTTTACTCGGAAAAAATGGTTTACTTCCAGTAAACGTGTTCATGCTCCAAATCAAAGAACATTTCCAACATGATATTCATCAGTGTCTTAATGCTGTACCAACCATACTGTGGTTTTGTGACATCAATGATGTAGACTTTTATCTTGATGCTATAGCAACAATTGGATTGGTGTTAGCTATCTTGGTGACTGTTTGCGGATGTAGCAATATGGTTGTTATGACATTGCTATGGATACTGTATCATTCGATTGTCAACGTTGGGCAGAGATGGTGAGTACATCAAATGGTACAGACGTAGACACCAAAAATACACCAAATATTTTTCTTATTTTATAAATTTGATGTCAAAAATTAAATTTTGAAATGATCTGAGCCGCATCCAATCAGTAATCAGTGTTGCAAGATACAAAAGAATGTTCCAATAGTAAATCACAATTTTTTTATGAGTAACTTACTTACCTCACTGCCAGCTTTTTCACTATGATCAGAATACAATGTATTTTAATGATGAAACAAATTTACTTCTTTTCCATTTTTTTATTCAGGTATTCATTTGGTAAGTAGTTAATGATATTCTGATAATGATGCGAGTCTGTTTGACATAATATATTGAACATTCTCTGGTCAATTTTATTTCATGTTTCATCAGATTATTTTTAGCCAGATGTCGGGCATTTTGGTTCTAAATTCATACTCTTTCTTTGGCAGGCACATTTCAATATATAAAGATTTGTTTTCAATATACCGATATGATTTGAAATGGCAGACTGGCAGCCATTTTGTACAATATTTGAGTCTATACCTATTTCTCAGACTCATTTTGGCCAATTTTGTACAGATACATAATATAGTATGTATGTATATTGAGCCTTGAAATTTAATATTTGAATCTCATTCTATGCTGATTTCAGTTATGTTCGATATGAACATCATATATATTTTTTTCATTAATTTGTATAACCCAACTATGCAGATACTTAGTATACCACTTGAGCATGACAAGGTGGGTGAATTTTTACTTTTCACAGGATGGGAATCTCAGCTTTTGGAGACTGGGTTCTTAGCAATATTCATGTGTCCGTTGTTAACATGGAGACAGATACCACGGAAGACACCCACACCACTGGTTACTATACTAGGCTATCGATGGCTCATATTTAGAATCATGCTAGGTGCTGTAAGTAATGAACCACACAAGGTTTGCTGTGCTGTTCATTTATTCCATGGCCTTATTCTTATGCGAGAACCCACAATAATTCATCTGATCCATGACAAGAACATTCAGTTATTGGCCTTAGCAACAATTGTTACTATGATCTCATTCTCTTAGAACAATTTTATTTTGCTGCAATAAAAATTACATTAATCAAAATTCAAGTACCACTTTATACATGTACCAGCCCCCCAAATATGCCTATAATGACATGAATGTTGATTATGACATTATTTATGATAATTAATTAAATTAATGTCGTAATAGGAGTAAAATACGATAACTCTAGAAAGTATAATCTTACATTTATTAGTGTATTTACCTGTACATACTGATATGAAGAATCAGAGTGCTCACTTTCTCTTTAATTACCTAATGTCTAGAAATTATAATTAAAATAGTTTAAATAAAATTAACTATTTTGTGTCATGATATTTATTATTATGTTTTTCAGGGTTTGATTAAAATCCGAGGTGACCAATGCTGGAGAGACTTAACTTGTATGAACTATCATTATGAGGTATGTATGTCATTACTTTCTTTTTTAAAAAAAAACATGATTCTGGTGGTCACACATGTAGTAAAAACCAAAGCACCAGTTTTGTACTTTTTCATATCAAATGATGAAAGGTCAATTATAGGTCAAATACTGCAATTGTATTCCACTGTTTCAATAGAAGTTATTGTTATCCACAACACACAAATGGCTGCTTAAATTTGGGAAATTTTTCATTTTTTCATAAAACTTGCTACTAAGTGCTACTAATAAAGCAAATATGGTAATTGTACTCTTCTGCAGAATTAGAATTATATAATTTGTAATACCATTAACTAGATAACCCAAAACAAGTAAAAAGGATCGACATGGCTAATTAGAGAATGACGGACATTTTTAAATCACTACAAATTCTGATTTTTCTGAAAGCCTTTACAGACTAGATTTGTTATTTTTTTTGTATGGTATTCTTGTAATTTCACCACCAAAATTTTTACCAGCTTAAATAATGCCAAGGATGCTATGAAAACTATCATTAATCCCTGGATTCTGAATATAATACATGAAATTGACTCTCATAATTCAAAAACTAGTTTGGATGCCCATATTTTCTTTGGACTTTAAAATAGTCACAGCCTATAGGTATCATGATTGTCAATAATGGGTTTTCAGTTGGTGTACAATTTGAGTAATTGACAAGATTTTGTGTTTTTTTACAGACTCAACCTGTGCCAAATCCCATCAGTTATTACATGCACCAAGAACCTGAATTCTTTCATAAATTTGAAACTCTCGTCAACCATTTCATTGAGCTGGTGGCACCATTCTTGATTTGGATACCATGGCGACCAGCCATCATTCTTGGAGGCCTTTTCCAGGTGTTGTTCCAGGTAAGAAATGATGAAATTAATTGGTCTGGCGACAAATTGTGAAACATTAGAAAACTGAACCTAGACTGCCTGAAGGTCTTGGTGTTTAATCACTAAATCAAACATAATTTTTTTAATTACTTGCATATATTTTAGTGAATCTTCTTAATTCATTTTTGAGACTGATGAATAAGATTTCTCCTGAACTTTTAATGCCTACAGAGCTCAGGGAAAGGTTTTATATAGATTAAAGAAAGTGGGAATGCAAACTTTGGGAGTGGTTGATTTTAACTATAGAATAGATTAAAAAAACATTCATTGATATAAACAATAATTCTAGCAATGCTGATCTACTGATCTGCAATACTGTAAACCACTTAATTTTTGCTACATGTATTAGGAATTTTCGCCATATGATGATTTTGTGCTGACTCTGTGCTAGAGTTCCCAGGAGACATTTTTATCACTGCAAAATTACATGATTTTAAACTGACGTTACTGTAAAGTGACTAATTTTCACTGGGTTTAAATTTCGCTGATTTATCATTTCTGACATATTCAGTAGGTTTTAAATTCACGGTTTTATCATTTAGATAATGTGTTCTATGCTAAATTTTACATATTCACTGGGTTTTAATTTAACACATTTTCCAGTCAGCAAAATAAACAAAATTAAAACCCAGTGAATGATTGACCCCTTTACAGTATATGAATTATTGAAAATTTTCCCTCACAAAATCAAATCTGTTTACAACAGGTGGTTCTTATCATCAGTGGTAATCTGAGTTTTCTGAACTGGCTGACTATTTTACCATCTCTGTGCTGTATGGATGATAAGTTCTATGCTTTCTTATTCTCCAATTCAGAAGGATGGGCCAAACACAAAGTGTGTATGATACAGCGGGAAGCAAGAACGGGTACTGGACCAAGAACTACATGGGGTAAATTCATGTGACACTTGTCGTTGGAGGTCAGGGGTTGTCGAGCACCATGCTTTTGAAATTCTTCTACCATTATTTTTAACACAATTGTACACATGTTGGATGGGATCTATATCAAACATGATGAATTGTTTTCACGACCACCATCCTTTAAAGATGTGGGGATTATTTTTTTTTCTTTATTTGATCTATTATATGAAAGTGAAGTGAGCAAAAATCACAAATTACATGTACAATTAACCCTCAGTCATTTACCTGCATGCGCTACTAATAGAACAAATACAGTATATCACAAACTTCCAGAATGTCTACACAATGTAATAGAGCTGGTACAGTAATTAAAATCTCTGAATGAAATGACTCTATCAATTATGAATTAAATTATAACACCACTTTTTTTCTTTGCTTACAAAAACATCATTTGTTTAATATCAAAGATAATGTTTATGTATGGGATAACTATTCGTTGGGAGTACCGTTTACAAAGCATATCGGATGTCAAATGAATTTGTTTTCTTCTCAGGAATGTATGTTCGTCGTGTTGTTAGTATTTCGCTTGGTATCCTGATAGCCTATCTGAGTATACCAGTTGTGCAGAATCTGCTCTCCAAGTATCAAGCCATGAATACATCATTTGATTCACTACGATTGGTCAATACATATGGAGCATTTGGAAGGTTGGAAATTTATTCATCTTTGTACATTTCAAATCTTGTTGCTCTATTGAAATTACTCTCTCAGCCATTATGTTTCATAAACCAATACAGCAACATTCTCAGGTGAATTACTGGCAGTGTCATTGACATCGTCTGTAGACTGTTATGTGGTCAGAACTGTTCGATCAAACCATTTTTATGTTCATCATGTTCAGCAGCAGTGTTACATCAACTTTTGAGGGAAGGAAATTTCACTAGAGGTAAAATTGGTAACTTTCAAATCAGCCTTCAGAACGACAAAAACAATTGCATAACATTGGCTACATTAGAAATAGAGCTAATTCATTGAAAACAAAACAAAATAACCACAACACAATAAGTCACATCAACAACTCCTGGCAACAATACTATGTGACCTGGTGTATGAGAAACTACACACATTTAATTTAATTTGCTTTGCCATATATACCAATGGATGAAGTAAATTAATAGGGAAATCTTTTATAGATATTCTATGCAATCACTAATATTAGTTTACATTGCTTTTTGATGTTTGATTCAATTTGTTTTAATTACAAAACAATATCAGAATATGTTGGGTTTTTAAGCTGACAATTTTTAAGTAACTACAAAATATAAATTGCTTTAATTTCACAAAAGACAAATTATTGTGAGTTTCGGGAAAAAATGCGTCAGGGAGTCAGTGATGACTTTCACCATATTTACTTTTAAAATAAAATCACATATACATCCAGTATATGATTCTCCGCAATTTTACCATGTAAACAGTAGGTCAATTTGTAATTTCAGCGTCACCAAGGAGAGAACTGAGGTGATAATACAGGGCACTTTAAGTGAACGTCCTAGAAGTCCAGAAGCTGTCTGGTTGGAGTATGAATTCAAATGTAAACCTGGTAATGTTACCAGGAGGCCATGTTTAATATCACCATATCACTATCGACTTGACTGGCTCATATGGTTTGCTGCATTCCAGGTTAGGATATTCTAGCAGTATTTATAGATGGCAATAGATAGAAGAAAACAATTTTAGCTTTTTGAGTGATTTCCATCAAACCTGAAAATTGTATTGTGTTTGATGTCAGTAGCATTCTCTCAATGTTCAACACTGAGGGCGCTGTCTATGTCATCAGTGAATAATGCATAATAATGCAACAATATGTGTTTTAAACCATTGATCTAAAGTTTTAAATTGTTTGTTCTATGTCGCGAGTTTTTTTTGTAAAATTATACATCATTGTTACAATATTAAAGTAACAGAAATTTTCAGCTTTGCAAAGCCTTGCTCACTTAGGATGAATTTAAAGGGATTCAACTTTCATCCATGCACAGTGATAAACGATGAAGATATTCACAATCATATTCCATGAACTCGCACAATTTGTGAAAAATGGAATTCATATATCTGCATATGAAATCTACACATGTGTTAATTAATCAAATTTGTTTTGACCAATAGCAGTGTAGTTTGTATGTAATTATGGAAACAAGAATGAGCGAGGTTACCACAGATTTTCTTTTGAAGATGGAATATGTGTATACATTATTATGCAAGGATGCTTCAAAAAACATATTCTTAGTACAATGTATTTAAAATGTGTTTGTCTTGCGATTTGTTGTGATCTGTGGGATCTTCAGCATACTTCATCATAGATTATAAAACTATAATGATATGTCACACTTATAAATACATATTTGTTTCTCAATTACATAGAATTATGAATCAAATCCCTGGTTGCTCCACTTAGCTGCCAAGTTTATGGTAAATGATGAGAGCACATTGGATCTTATCGCATATAATCCATTTCAAGATACTGATCCACCACGGTAAGAAAATCTTCTATTTCTAGTTCAAGATATCTTAAATCACCAGTACAATTTTTTCTAAGCTGAGCAGCAAACCTGTTTTACAAAGTAGCCGTCATCAGTGTGAGTTTGCTAACTGTTGCTAAAGTGATTGTTTTTGAGAGAAAATTTCATTGAATGTAATAAAATATATTATTATACATCTATCACTGTAACGCCATAAGTTACAGCAAGCTGTAATTTTGCGGCATTTTACAGGGTATTTTTATCCTACCATATTAGGAAATGCAAATTCCAAATATGGAATGATTATTTGTGTAAGCATCCTCTAATAATAAAAACAAACATGGCTGCCACCAGAGTTTGACTGGATTCAACACAAAGGAGTTTGCTGATTCTGTTCTAAACATTTTTGATTTTGGCATTCCCATGGTGTATCCTTGGAATAAAAGATGTATAATAATAAGGTATATTACAAAAACACCCCAAAGTATGCACTCAGACAGTATGCCACACACCGACCTCCGCTGCACGTCGGTCAATACTCCAGCTGTACTATCTTTGTGCATACTTTGAGGTATTCTCGTAATATCCTCATAATATCCTGAATTTTTTGGTCTCTTTTGTCAGTGCAGACACCCATATTTAGTATATTATATATGAAAACGTACAGCCAACATTTTAGCTGACTGATTGATATTATAATTTGTCACCAGATACATACGTATGGAACATTATAGATATACATATACAAAAATTGGTAGTGAATCGGCCAAGCGTGGTCAGTGGTGGGACAGAACCAAAATCGCAGACTACTTGCCGCCAGTATCATTAAATGATATAGTACCATATTTGAAAAGAAGAGGATACGGAGTTCCTAAATTACGCGGCAAAGTGAAATTAAAAGATAAGAAAATAGAAAAGAAAACTTGATAATGATAATTCTGGGCTTCTTTAGGCCAGACTTTTATTACCCCTTGTTTCGCGAACCCTCCAAATGAACAGGAACCGAAAATGAAATAAAAATAAAATTTTATTTCAGCATAATTTCTCGCGCCTGCCGACTTGTAAGTGCAAAAAATTGCTAAAAAAAATTATTTTTATCTTCATTTTTTTCCACCCGCATAACAAATCCAAGTTGCATTTTCGTGGGAGTATCATGATCAAAGTACAGTCTCGTGCAGATGAGAAACAAGGTTATACATGGAATAAAATTTTATTTCATTTCTTCTCTCCGATCAATGATCTCACTTACAATTCTTTGAGAATCACACAAATCTAATGGAAAAAAAGAATTAATTTTATTTTTTTTTCGCCCTCAAAAAAATTGCCTTATAAAAACTCGAGAAACAAGGAATAAAAAAAAAGTCTGGCCTTAACGTTTAGTTTTGAAACGCTGTACTTTCAAAAAATATCATTACCGTATAAAAAAAGTGAAATACAATTTATAAAGTCTGTTACCAGTAGTTAACTTGCATTTCGTCATTACTGCAGTATACTCTAGTAGATACATTTTCCATTGCTGCCTCATGAGGGCGCTGTTTATATCTAGACTAGATACCGTACCTCACAATCATATCATTTTGGTGAATATTTTTTTTATATAGTGGTGTATTATTTATCAATTAAATATTTCTGGGATAAAGTCACTTTTACATAATCTGCTGTTGTGTAATATATCTGTATGTAATATGTATATAGTTTGCAGACATCCACTAAATGACTAAAAGACCGATGATCATTGTGTCATGTATGCGTGAGATATGCACCAATATGGCAGCTTTGACTGTTGTGCAGACCAACAAGTCTAAATTGAGATAAGCTTTAATTAGGTACACTGTAGCCTCGCTATAACGAACTCTTTGGGGGACATACAATTAGTTTGTTATAGTGAAATGTTCACTATAATGAAGTACATAATACATTGGGTTTGTTTATGAGTGGGGGACATGATATGTGTTCATTATATCAGGAAGTTTATTTTAACAGTGTTCATTATACCGAGGTTACAGTGTAATTTTGTTGGCGATTTGAAGGTATCGAATGAGGTCACCGCGATAATTAGTGCAAGTCATACTTGGGTCAAAACTTGTATTCGTAATTTAAATACATTGTAGATAAGTGCATTGGATTGTGGGAAAATCAATGTTTATCAACACAAATGTTGCACATGCGATGACCACTGCTTTTTAAATTTTTATTGAGTATTCTATTTTCTCCAGTCATTGTGTCGCTGTTCACCTGGTCTAGTATGTGGCGATTATATTTGTAAAAGTCAACGTGATGATGAGAATGATGTAATTATCTTTATTTCATTTTGATGGTATTGATAATATCTGATTATCACCATTTCCAGCCAAGTGTTAGAATTGCACAAAAAAAGTATGAAATAATTGTTTTAAAGTGCCTGTGAAATGGCTGCTATTTTCACGCCTAAAATTATCTATTGATACATAAATATTATTAATTTTTATGTTTCTAAGCATGAATTATTTTTTTTAAGTGAAAAAATGTGTTTTAAACAGAACAGAAATTCCCCTTGTGACGTCAGAAGGGGAAGTCGCATGGCAGCTTGCATTGCCGATACGTGTAAATAAGGCAAATTTCTTGTGCAGTTTTCTCGTCTTTGACTAAATTGTCACTTATTTACTTGTTCGTCGAGGAAGAATGGACCATAATGAACACATAGTATCAATTTTTGTTGCATGGGATTGAGTTAGATGCGAAATATGTCCGTTCTGGTGTAGATGGTCACCGTGATCGTCACCGACACCATTTGTACACTGTCGCTGAACAAAATAGAATTTGACGTCGGTATTATCTCGTTATTTAGCAGGTTACTAGGCACGTCACTACACTTTTATTTCATCGGCCGTCTGAGTAAAACTTTCAAAATTAAAATAAAAGAGAACATATTTTGACATTCTAAATATTAGACTATAATGATCACTATAAAATAATAAAAAAAAAAAAACGACAAATCAGTTACTAAATAAATGACAGCCGCGTGGAAATAAATTGACATTTTGTTGAAATAGGTGAATGCGTTTTGTCGCGATGAGGGAAAGTGCGTTAAAAGCGGCGTTTAATTGGAAATAATCAAGATCGACACACATACAGATAAATTCAGAGTGGATTCGAGTTAGCGCGATCCATGGCGTGATTGTCATAATTATAACATCATATTAAAACTTTATTTGGTGGAAACACATTGACCAAGCCCGGATTCTTATTTCATAAATTATTACGCAGATCAAGCTGCAAGCATGGAGGTAAAAAAAGAACAGAGGTGTGAATTCGACATTCAACACCAATCACCAAACAATTCAGAAACTTTTAGCCTTCGAAAATGAAAACAATTAGCAGTGTGTAAGGGCTGTGTAATTTCCTGTTTGTCCGACGCTTCGTTTTCGTGTCACTGTCAAAATTATTGCTACCTTTTACTTAACATGGTCTCTATAAAACGATAATCAGGATCGCAAAAAAAGTCAACTCATTTAAAACACTTGCCGGACGTCTCTCTCTTCTAAAATCCGCCTCGGTGATCATGGGCTGGTCCGAAATCTATTTCTTTCAAAAATGTTGCGCCAGGTTTACTTTGTCAGCGTTTCTCTTTAAACCTAGTTTTTTTTTTTCATGGACGAGGACAGTTTTTCCAAAAAAAAAAAAAAAAAAAAAGAATCTGAGGCTAAGTGGCTTTCATCTACTGATGTCGCACCTCTGGATCGATTAGAAACGTGTGAATACATACACTATGACTATACGTTTCACTGCAACTGCCCACAACACAACATCTAACAACTCTTTCTCAAAAAAATAAAATAGACAAAAAAAGAAAGAAAAAACGCTGACCTAAAAATGTATATCTATGTATATATACTGAATGACCAGTGTTATTACGGCTCTGGGGTATGACTTCCTCTCACATTTTTGTCATTTGGTGGTGCACTTTCGGCGAGAGTCTGAAATCCGGAAACAGTCGACCGTTTCAGGATAGGTGGGCGTGGCTACAACACGAGAAATATCCCAAATTTACTTGGATACGAGTAAACATTTTCAGCAAAAAAATCAATAACTGCCCATTTCAGTAGGACACAGATCTAAAATGGGAAACGTGAGGGTGGGCATTGCACAGGCACTTTAACTACCAGGTAAATTATGTGGGTAAACTAATAGACAAATTACTCTAACTCTGTTTTAAAGTTTTCTTGTAACAAAATCGGACTACTAGTATCAGACTCTAACTTCATGTGGAAATGCAAAATTGGTTTTCGTGGTGACAGTAGTTCCCTATAGAAACTTTGCTCAGTGGCTGAAAATGTTGCTTTGAAATCCTGACTTTACATTTACCCAGGTAATTTTAGTGAGTTTTTAATCTGATTTGTTTTATTACCAATATATTTCTCTCCTTTAAAGCACTTGGAAACACTCTCAGTGTATAAAAAAAACTCCACTGATGATTGTATGTTGCACAAAGTAATCACAATTAATATTTAAAAACAAATATTTACAAGTTGTAGCTTACTGTTTATTAGAGTAAGTTTCGGTGATAGCACAACTAAAATTGTAATTGTGTATCTCTTTTAAAAACAACTTTTTGCAAGGAATAACATGCCTGTATTTCAAACTTTTTAACCAGAATAAGCAATCCTAAGTTTGTGAGTGGAATTTTAGTGAACACCAGCTAGTGACAGAAATGAAATGACAGACTGGATACATTTTAATAGAGTGAGTACCGGTAGTCATCTGATTAAAATTTTCTAATATTACCAATGCCAGTGTAGTTGAATCAGCTTCCTTCTGGAGAGTTTTAACACTGTGATGAAGTTATTTACTATTTGACTTGAAACAAATATACAAATGCTTTTTTTTAATTTTTAACTTGCTATGTGTAAAATACTGTTAAATGCTTAACATTCAATTTTAGCGCATTTAACAGAAACTTAATTTAGCTAAATCATTGTGAGAATATACTTTAATTTAAATTAACGACATGTCAAATTAGTTAAATTACAGATTAATTAAATTAGCTAAAATATCATGCTAGCTAAAAAGACGCGTTTTACAGTAGCCCTGCATATTTACATGTTCTCTATGTGGAGTTTAACTGTGTTACCAAACCTACAGAAGGCTTATGCATTACCAATGGTATGTATACTGTAAGCTGTCTGGCTTACATGCTGGTATGTGCAATACACAATCCTGGTAGATCATTGTGACATCTTCATAACCATATTAATCACCACATCTTTAACCCATTACATGGGTCATTCAGTAGATATATAATAAAACCACATGGCACAGAAGAAGATGTACAGAATTCATTTGACCTTTAACTGTTTATGTTTATCATGATAAAATAATAATCTTCAAATTTTGTTATATTGATTGTGTCAGTTACGTACTTGTTCTGAAAATCATTTATACTATTATATTTCCGGTTACTAAATTTTATGTAAATGCTACTGATTACAGTTTGAATTTGTAGAAGCCTGTATATAGAAATAGAATTAGCATGTTAATGACCAAAACAGGTGGTGGCGTAAACCTGAAATGTATGAGGTGAATGTCAAATTTTATTTTCCTAAATATCAATATTTAATACGTTGTTCAATTAAAGCAGTTTACTGTCTAAAAACAGATGACCACACTCATTTAATAAATTGGATATTGAAAGATCACTTGAAGGTCAATGTCATGAACTACTGTGGAATACTTTATTTTCGCTGGAATTAATTTTCGCTGAAAAGACTTTTTGGGCGTTTTGTATTGAATTTATTTTCACTGATTTTTGATGAATTTAATGTGAAATATAGGAAAAAAGTATATTCGCTGGATTTTATTTTCACGGTATCATCCCTTCAGCGAAAATAGCGAAAATAAATTCCAAGCGAAAATAAAGTATTCTACAGTATAATGTAGTTGACCTCTATGTAATGAAGACCACATGTAGGCCACCTGTCTGAATTTACCCTGGGTGGTCACTAT